AATTTACAATAATAATATTATCTTACCATGATTCAGGGGCTGTCTCTCTCTATCCCAGCCCAGGGTCAGGCAATGCAGCAGGTGTAGGCAGAGTGGCCGCACAGGGGAGAAACCTGGCAGAATACACGCTCTGCGCCTCCTGCTGGTACACTCCATAACAACCTCCCTGGTGCTCAGTGATGACTCAGAACACAGGCTGTGGCTGGGAATGCCCTCCCTGTGCTCTGACTCACTGACTGAGCGCCGGAGCCACAAGGGAGAGGATTGTATTGCGACCAGCAGGAGGTACAGAGTGTGGCACCCTTCTACTGAGTGGCACCCGGGGTGGACCGCCCCCCCCTTTAGTACGCCACTGGCCCTGAGACACAATGCCATCTATGAGTTAAACTGAAAAACAAAATATTTAATCTTTGTGACACTTAAATAGAATTTTCATAATAATTTGGAACAGGGTGTAGTATTTTGTGGGAGTTTTTGATTTTAAGTTTTCTGATACAATCCGTGTTCTACTATAATTTCAATGACATTCATTAATTTCTTCCCTTTGCTTCTTTCAGTGTCAAATTGTTTATGAATCAAACCAGTAAAGAACCCAGCCATAAACCATTGTATTTCTGGTTCTCCCCCACTCCCAATCTGTCATGCTGCAGCTATGAGACATTAATATATAAAATAATACAAATCTGCATGACTGCTTACATATAGTCAGTTAGTTGTTTTGTTTTTTGTTTTGTTTTTTTTTATTCTGCTAAGTGAGCATCTTTTTTTTTTTTTTTTTCAGACATAATGAGGTTTTTATAGCAGACTGGTTAATAGAAAAGGTACAAACCCTTTTTATCAGGAGAAGATATCTCCACACCATATAGGATCTTTTAAACGTCACCTGTATGTGACAAGTTAATTCCCTTAATGTTTCCGCTGATTAATGTAATGCCTGGGTTGGTGGAATATATTGTGTCCCAGCATAGGCGTGTGCAGCCTATTGCATTAGGGTGTGCACCCTAAAGCACAAACACGCTGCATGTATAAATGTATATGTGTGTGTGTGTGTGTATATGTATATATATGCAATGTATGATCATATAATGTAACTAAACCCCAATTATTTTTGCCTAGATTAGGTGTTTTAAAAAAAACAAAATCTTTCAACATTGAAGTTGCTGTTTAGTGGATAGGTGAGTGCGCTGGATCTTGTGTATTATATGTATACATCTATATATACACACACATACATATACTGCTGTTTGTTGTGTGTGAGGGTGCTGTTAGTGTGGTGTGTGTGAGGGTGTTGATAGTGAGGGTGTTGGTAGTGCACTATGTGGGTGAGGATGCTGGTAGTGTGCTGCATGTGAGGGTGCGGTTTGTGTGTGAGGGTGCTGTGTGTGAGGGTGTTTGTGTATGTGTGTTAGGGTCCTGTTAGTGTGCTGTGTGTGTGAGGGTGCTGTTTGTGTGATATGTGTGTGTGAGGGTGCTGTGTGTGTTTGTGAGGGTGCTGTTAGTCTGCTGTGTGTGAGGGTGTTGTGTGTTTGTAAGGGTGATGTGTGTGTGTGTTTGTGTGTGTGTGGGTGCTGTGAGGGTGCTGTGTGTGTGTGGGTGCTGTTTGTGTGCTGTGTATGTGAGGGTGCTGTGTGTGCGCGCTGTTTGTGTTAGGGTGCTGTGTGTGTGCTGTATGTTTGGAGGGATTGTGAAGGTGGGGATAGATTACCTTATGTAGGGAGGGGGGATCCTTGCTGTCCAAGGGATAGTGAACTCTAGCCTGCGAGATCGCGCCAGCTCTGCATGAGCCAACAGGGGAGATCCAGAGATCTCCCCAGCCGGCAGGGGTCAAGTCCTGGGGAATAAAGTGTGGGAACGCTCCCAAGATTCCCACCCCCCCCCCAAAAAAATAATATACACTCGTGTGTGTGTGTGTGTGTGTGTGTGTGTGTGTGTATGTGTATATATATATATATATACGCAAACACACACATACACTCATACACACATACTCAGACACACACACATGTATTCACAGACACACATACATACACACACACACACACTTACAGGCACACACACATCCATTCACAGACACACACTTACAGACACTCACACACACACTTAGACACACAAACTTACAGACACAGACACGCACACACACATACATTCACAGACACACACTTACAGACACACACACATACACTCACAGACACACACACATACATTCACAGACACACAGACTCTCACACACACATTCACAAATTATTATTTTTTAATTAAAAATTGTCCATCCCGCCTCCCTTCCTGGAGAGCTGGCGTGGACTTGTCCCAGGTGTCCAGTGGGTCGAGCACCTATCTCCATACAACAAGCAGCGAGGGAGCTGTGTGCTCTCTGCTTCCTCTCGCTGCGCGGGCTGTCTGCTGTAGCTGGGAGCCGGAATATGACGTCATATTCTGGCTCCCGCCATCAGCAAACCCTCGCCGTTTGTTGTATGGAGATTGGCGCCCGACTGGGGGTGGTGTCATCACCTCTTCCCCCCCCCCCCATGACAGGGGGAACACGGGGTGAGGAGGAGGGCATTTGGGGCGGCAGAGTGCCTGGAGGACCAGTAGGAACGGCGTTCCCACGCGTTCCTGCATGACTCACAGGCGTGCCGCGGGGATTAGGGTGCCCAGGCACCTCCGGCACACCCCGTGCGCACGCCTATGTGTCCCAGTAATCATTTGTAGAAGTGCAGCAGAATAAAAAAACTATACCTCCCATACAGAAAAAAATTAATGTGACTAATCATTTAGTACTGAATCATAATAAAAATATAAGTGGTATATCACCACCCCCACCAGCAGTCTTCAGTTCTTTTTTCCACCATAATAATGTCTGTTTGGCCCATACTTATTTCTCCACCTGGATCTTTGCTCAGTCATTCTTAACTGCCTTTTGACTGTTAAGAATGATTCTATATAGGGGCTCATTTCTCATGTCCTATACTGTTTGCACTATGTATTGTATTTTTGTTTTATAGTATGTTCTGGTCATATAACTTCTATATTGTTTTGCATTTGTTCTACATTACGTGTAGAATTTCTATTTATTATACTAATTATCTTTTAAGTGTTGGGGGATACTCATACTACATCTGCGTGTTGTTCATTTTTTAGCGCCTACACACCGTTGCACTTTTTTTATATTTTGGCAGGTTTCGCCCATATTCAGTACAGATGTCTCTATACACATTCCTGGTATCATGGAATCCAAGCTCCTTGCTAGGGACTTTGGACCCTCTCTTGCTGAAACGGGACACAGCAGATACTGTAGCTTTCCATCCAATTTAAAATTATTAGGACTTTCTGTAATGTATGGATGATTTTAAGATAAATGAGCATCCTTTTTGAGTGTTTTCTTTCTCCTCCATCCCTGCCTTGTTGTTTTTTCAGCACGGCTCTGTCTTAATGTTTCAGGAGAGGACTTTTCAAACTTTTTTAAACTGCCTGATCTGCCACTGCTTAAGCCTCCAATGCGGTCCACAGTCCTTGTCATTGTCTGTCCCCACCCTTTCTTGTAAACATGGTGCTGGCTGAATTTTATTCTTAGTGTGATTGGTTGTGTAAGATTCAATATGAGACTGACTAAAATTCCATCACTGATAGGGGTAATTTCTGTTCAGCTGAATCACAAAACTAACAGCCTTGTAAATTGTATCTGACCATGCCAGGATGTCGCATACATAGTCTTGGCACACAACCGTCTTTGTTCTACCTATACCCTCTTATTCTAAGAAGATCCCACCAAGTAATGCCCTCTAGTTTTATATCCATAATGTATTGTATGCCTTTACCATGCTGTCTGCACAAGATTTACACACAGTTAATTAATAAATATCTCTATTTGGTAATTAATAAAACACATCTAGACTGTCCCTTAGTAGAATTCCTTAAAACCTTCCTGTCTAATACAGATTGAACATTATTTGCATTGACTCTGTTGTAAGGTCTAATCATTGATTGTTCCACGAGTACTCATGCAGGCTCTGCCTGGGTAGAACTATAAGGCCATGGCAGGTAATTCTAGTGATCACCAAGGACATGACTGCTGACCCAGTACCAAGACCCGTTACCCCCCCAATAACGACATGACACCTGAGTGTTGGGTAAGGGCAACGGCCACAGCTTTATTTAAACTTTAACACAGCCAGCATTTCCACCTGTCAGCTGTTGGGGTGACTACCCAACAGACAAATACTCCAAGTCTTTATCCAGAGTTCGTACAGCCTGCCTTCGGCCATCAGACAGCGCCTTCTCTATACCCGATTGAAGACCCGCATTGAAAATGTCCAACCCGATTTGATTCAGGTACACTCCGTCTGCCATCATAAAGTTCAGATTGTCCCCCTCCAGCTCCACATGCCGAACCGCCACACCACCAAGCCGCTGCACAAACCGGGAGATTGTCATGTTGAGCTTCCGCCTGCTCCGCTCCAAACCCTTGGCATGTGGCAAGGCCTGCCAGCATGGACGGGGAACAATCTCAGACCAAATCAGAGTACAGTCTGAGAATAGAGCCAAACACCGGGCCAAGTCGTGCTTGACAGAGTACATCAGATCCACTGTTCTAACCCTCCCTAAATCATTACCCCCCGCATGAATCAAAATTGTGACCGCTCCCGACACGAACCTGCACTCCGGATAGACTTGTCTCCAGGACAGACCCTGAATACCCCTCCAGTGTACCCTCGCTATGTCCGTTGAAATCCCGAGGTTCCGTCCATAGGAGCGAGACTCTGCCTGTCGGGCTGCCCAATATATAAACAAATGCTCCAGGATCCATATGTAACGGGGGGCACATCCTGAAACAAATCATAACAGATGCGGTCAGACTTACAGCTGATATTTCCTGGAAGACCATCTACCTAATCGCTGCACAACTGAACCCGCCAAGCCCATGGCGCTAGCCTGTGTAGGGGCCCCGATTTCTGAAGGAATGAGGTGAGAAACCAGTTGGATCTTGCCCACAGTCCACCAAAGCTCTCCCCAGCACCGACGCGAACTGAAAATGCGTAAGCGGGGACCCATCCGCATGCACCAACAAACAGACTGACGCCGGCCTACTCGCCATATACTGCTGGAAGAGCCGGACTGGACAATACTCACCCCCAGTACTCCCAACCCTGAGCCACACACCGGTACCAGTTTGATCTGTCTTGGATCTGTGAATATGCAGGTCCACAAAACCATCCGCCCAACGCACGTCCGACAGCAAGAGAGGAGAAACCGACCGGCGATTTGGGGCGACAAGCTCCCCCACACGCAACACACCGAAGAAACACATAACAAAACTAACCTGAAACAGCCGACTCTCGAAGACCGAGCCACAGACCCCAGGTAACTCCCCCATCAACTGCCACAACAGGTCCACCGAAATCGGCCGCCTTCGGTCCAGACGCCTCCAACTCCTCCAATCGCGAAGAACCCGTTGCAGACAAAACTCCTTCGTTATGTCCCGCCAACCTAAAAAACGAAACAAAAACGACAGAGCCGACAGCCCTCTCTCCACTGAGGCGCATGATTGACCCTGCTCCAGGAGCCTATTCATATAACGCAACGTCACTTCGAACAGGGCTGTCTCCAGTGACATCCGAACAGACCCCTCCCCACACGACAGCCAACCTACCCACACCGACCTGTACGGCTTCCACATAGCAGCCGACAAAGATTCCGACACCAAGGACATCAGACCTCCGAAACCAGGTTCCATAAGTATGCCGGGCAGCGAAGACCCTCCTGCTCTGCTCCCGGAGCAGACTCCCGAAAATGGTCCCACTGAAACCGAGAAAGAGAGTCAGTCACCACATTCAAGACCCCCGGTATGTGCCGAGCCTGTAACGTCAGCAGCACTAGGTGTCGCAAGAGGGCCAGAACTGGAGGAGACGCAGACGATGATCGGTTAATCACATGGACCATACTCATATTATCCGTGTGGAAAAACCACCACCCAGTTCCGCAAGTCATCCCCCCCACAGTGCCAATGCTACCACTATGGGGAACAGCTCCAAGAACATAAGGTTCTGCATCACGTCCAGCCCACGCCATTCCAACGGCCAAGCAGCCGCACACCACTTGCCCCGAAAGAAAGCCCCAAATCCAACCGACCCTGATGCATCCATATAGAGGTTGAGTTCGGCATTGGGAACCGCTTCCCGCAACCAGCACGACCGGCCGTTATACTTACCCAGGAAGACACTACATACCTGCATGTCGGCTCGCAGCTTGGCCGTCACCCGAATGTAATGGTGAGCCTCCCGGATCCCAACCGTCGCTAAGGACAAGCGCCGGCAAAAAGCCCGACCCATAGGCAAAACGCTGCAAGCAAAGGCTAAATGACCCAGCAGTACTTGCATCGTGCGCAACTGGACCTTCCGAGACGATTTGACCAAGTCAATCTGCTTCAGCAGCACCATAAGCTTTTCGTCAGGTAAACGAAAAACCTTGTCCTCGGTGTCAATCTCGATGCCCAAAAACGACAGCCTATTGGCTGGCCCCTCTGTCTTCTGCTCTGGCACGCCAAACCACGCGGCCACCTCGTGGAAGACTGACAACAACCGGGAACACCCTTCCGAGGACTCGCGAACAGGATCCAAATCCAAACCCGAATACTGAACCACGACCCGTTCCAAGAACGAGGAAAACATTTCAAAATAAGAACACGAAATCGAACAACCCATGGGAAGGCACATGTCGTAGAAATATAACCCCTGGAATTGACAACCCAGCAGGTGATAACATTCCGGGTGAACCGGCAATAACCGAAAAGCTGATTCAATGTCCGATTTTGCAAAGAGTGCCCCCAACCCTGCTTCCCTAACCAATGACAGGGCCCTGTCAAACGAGGCATAACGCACTCTGCTGAGCTCCTTATCGATATCATCATATCATCATTCACGGACCTCCCAGCCAGTTGGAAAGTTGATGAATTAACCGAAAGGAGCCAGGCTCCTTTTTTGGTACCAGCCCCAG